AGGTGGCCGCGGCGACGGGCATGGCTTCGGCGGGCAGCGGCATGGAGGAGGTGCGCGTGTCGGTGCTCACCCCGCTGAAGCTGGTCGGGCTGGTGTGCATCTTCCTGGCTCTGTGTCTGGACCTGGGCGCTGTGCTGAGCCCGGCCTGGGTCACGGCTGACCACCAGTACTACCTGTCCCTGTGGGAGTCCTGCCGGAAGCCTGCCAGCCTGGACATCTGGCACTGCGAGTCCACGCTCAGCAGCGGTGAGGGCCCAGCGTCGCCACCCCTGTCCCCTCCCCGCTGCCCTGACCGCCACCTCCCACTCCCTGCTGCTTAGGTCCCCCCACCCCACCCCCACTGTGTCCTTCCCACCCCATTCAGGCCCTTCCAGCCGCCTCCCTGACTTGCCCTCCTCTCCCCTATCCCAAATCAGGTCGCCAACCCTAAAGGGATGTTCCCCGCCCTCACCCTCCTCCCAGGGCCATTCCTCCAGCTCTGGAGTAACACCTATGCTATTCTGGGTAATTGTTATCATTTAGGGCGAGAACCATGTGGTTTGGTTAAAAATGTAACGCCTTCCATACCCTCATTAAAAAAGCAATAAGCTAAAAACGCCCCAACTCCGCCTAGAAGATGTGGGTTCTTGGCTCAGGCTCCCCCACTCTTTTCTGCCCTCTCAGGGAGGTGTTTTCCTGAGTTTACCTCTCTGTACCCACGTTTCTGCCTGTTTCTCTCCACCTGATCTGGGTTCCCCCGGTTCGTTTTGGCTTGGACTTTAATTTCCTTATGTTTTTGAGGAATATGGAGAGGTGGGAAACGGACTAGCGACATTGCCTTTTTTGGTGACATGGTAGTTGGTTGTGAGTTACCCTTCCTCTTCCCACCCTCCATAGATGCCCTCTCCTGCCTGATCTTTTCTTCTCCGAGAGCTAGAGATACTCAGAAAGTTGTTCTCTATTCAGTTAGCACTGGGAGCTGCAAATTGAGCCCTCTGAGGTGCCTGTTCCTGGGGAGCTGGAGATTTATTCCTTTCTCCCCTCTGGGACTCCCACATTTGCCTTCCCAGCACCCCTCTTACACCTTTAGAGGAAACCTGCCAACTTATTTCATGCTGCAAGCCCTTTCCTTTCTCATCTTGATTCTTTAGCTGCGGGTGTTGGCACAGAGAAAGGGAGAGTAACTGGAGAGAACGTGCCCCACGACAGACACATGCACACACACACACACACACACACACACACATCACACAGAACCGTGCGCACGCACGTGTGTGTACACGCACACCCCAAGAAACTCATTAAATTCCTTCGTGACAGTTTCACGTCTTTTCTAGCACTATTTATAAAGCTTTACTGGAACCTTTTCAAGTTTCAGCAAAGTTGAAATCACACAAAAAAGCCACAGAGAATCCGATCTGCTTTAGCCTTGGGTTTCTGGTTTTAAGAGAGATTAGTTTACTTGGTTAAGTTTCTTCTGTAAATTTCATTTTCTGTGTACAAAAGGCTTTTTTTCCACCCTCACCTCAAAATTCCCCTTGAAGCGTTTTTTGTCTTTTGGTTTAATTCACTGTGGAGGGGACTGGTTGGCAGCAGGAGGTCAACATTTAGGTCTCCCAGTTCTTTCAGGGTTGGTTGTTTACAACTGAAGATAAAATAAATCTGGAAAATGCCTTTCTTCAGTTACCAGGGGCGCCAAATAAACTTTGGAAAAAATATCTTTTCTTCTCCCTCTCCAATAGAAATGGAAATTTATGTAGGAATGCCAGCTTCTGCAGGTCTCCTTAGCAACATGAATCTTTTGCCCCTTTCTCACTGTCTCTTGAAATAATAGCCCCCTGATTGCATAAAGACTTTTCAGATAGGTTAGAGAAATAGGCTTCAACTCCTGCTTTCTTTTCAGGCCCTTATCCTTTTCTCTTGGCCAGGAATGTGGGGAATGAAGGGAAGCCAGCTCCAGTTTGAAGAGCTGCATGCAATGTTTGCTAATCTTTCCTTAATTGCCTTCATAGCCATTAATCTCAGCTAGTGCCCCCCCCCCCTTTCTAGACAAGGAAATTGGGAGTGAGAAAGAAGTTAAATGCAGATGTAGTGGTGTTTCTGCAAGGTAAAATTCAAAGGTGGGCACAATCTCTACTTTACCCTTAACCCCTCTCTTCTACCCTTGTTATTGAAACTCAGCCACTACTCCCCACACCCAGCATTTCTATCTGGGCTCCTGGAAATCTACTTGAGTTTTTATTTTCCTGAAAAATTACTTTTCAGCTCTAGGTAAGTAAAGAGTCCACAAGCAAAATAGAAAAGAAGTTACGGGCTTTCCCGATGGGGTTGGCAGTGGGCAGGCGATTGGGAACTAGCATGGAAACACAATGTGGAGATTGACTGTGTCCCCCGCCCCGCTATGTTCTTACAAAAAATGCTTTCTTATAATGGTACATGGAGGAGAAGTTTCTCTCCATCAGATTTCAGGAAAATGAAAGGGGTAGGGGGTGCTGAATCGAAACCAGCTATGCTTTTCTTGCCCATTCCAAAGGGTAGGCAGCTTTTCCTGTCTGTTTGCTGTGTGGAGCTGCAGGAAGCAGGGAGGGAAACGTCTTAGCTGATGATTTTAAGAGCCACTTAATTGTTTGTAAATATGAATTGCCTCCGGAGACACCACCAAGGACAGTTTTACTGGAGGCTCTTCATTCAGGATCTTCAAGGCATAATTAAAACCCTTTGTTTTAATCAGAATGAAAGCTGCCATGAAAAGGCCAGCTTGTATTTACAGAAGGAAAATTTCGGGACTGTTGCCTGCTGACAACAGAATGCCCTCCTTAGGCCCAGCTTCTATGGAAACTTTCCCCTCACCCATTTCCTTGTAAAGCAGCATTGCAAGATGTGGCCAAATATGCACCGTTTGCCGTTTGTGTCCTGTTTGCTGGTTTTAGGTGGTAGCAGAACCATGTTTCTGGGTGCGTCGTGGTGCACTGAAGGTTGCGTCAGCACTTTTAGTATGAACCAGTAATCCAGGCTAGCATCCGTCAGCTGGCATGCTTTTCGGTGGTGTCCCGATTCATTGTATTGGGGACCTTCCAGGCATTCCTTTTTATGTGGCACAGTTCCCCCCCAAAAAGACAAAGATTATCAAATTCGTGGTGATACAGAGAAAGGGGAGAGGAAAACTATATAGAAGTATCCTTGTGAGGAAGTTCAGAATAGGTGCACACTTGCGTAGCTGACCATCATGCCCCCACCCCCCCACATTTTTTCCCCTAAGGATTTCTATCCCCACTACTGGTTCTTGGTAACCTCTAAATAAATCTTTAAAAAAAAGAAAAAAAAAGATGAGGATTTTAGACGTCTGCTTAGTCACATTTAGTGTTGATAACTCCTTTCCCCCTAGAGTGTTGTGGTTAGAATTTAGAATTTCACAGTCCAAACACAAGAGAATTCTGAGGGCAAATAGGATATGGTCCAAGTTTATACAGAATGCCAAGGCCCTAAACTCTACGTCAAAATGGACTTTACTGTATATGCTCTAGGGTGATTTGGCACTTCTTGTTTAAATTGTGTGACTGTAGATATTTTCTCGAAGGCAAGTTGATGTACGCTAGCAATATGATTTCTTGATTAAGCAAAAAGCAAGGACAAGGAGATGGCCAAGTAAACACGCTTTCCTGAGGGTCATTTTAGGGCGCATTTATCTATGGTTCCGTCAACAAAATACTGATCCAAGAGTTGATTTCCCACCTCACCTCCCCCCTTTCAAAAAGGAATATTGTTACCATTCACCTCTGTCCTAAAAATAGCTGCATTTGTAACATGAGTCACTGGCAGTTTTGAAATGGCAGTGCACTCTCTGCTAATAACAGGTGAATGTTATCATTTTCCGTTGACAAGCAGTTCTTTATATGTAGCTCTATTTATCTTTGCAATTTTAGTATAAAACCCCATTTTAAAAGACACAAGAAGCAGATCTATCTTACGTGATAGTTTAAGATCAATCGAACTGCCTGAATAGCTGTATGTCTTAGAAAATCTGAGATGCAATGATTCTTAGTTCAGGAATGTATTGTCGGTGTACATTTCTCTCTCAATATTATTAACCTGAGAAGCAGAAGTACATTGGGAAACTCATGATGGCACTCCCCTTCATAGAAGGTTCTGCTTGTTGCTTGAAATGGATTGGTACTGATGCATGTTTACAAATGGCTCAGCCAGCCTGGAAGTCACTGAAATTGTACCCTCCTCTGGCTTCCTGGAAAACAACAAAAGTAGAACAAATGCAGTTTTGTTGACCCTACACAGCACAGACAAATGGGTGGAACATTAACAGAGACGATCCGTTAACCCCCAAACTTTCTCCATTAATAAACCTGAGCAAAAACTAAGTGTACTAGCACAATTTTCACGGTGATCTTCTTCTCAAATCTCTTGGATTGTCCAGCTCCTGCAGATTGATGTTTTACAAGTGATATTATGATTTATGGGACCATATAAATCCTCTCTGGCTCAAATTTATCGTAGGAGTGTGATCTCCAGGGAGCCATTGAGATCAGTCCTGGTTTTGATGCGGGTGTGAAAAGTCTAACTTTTATGAAACATTTCAAAAGAAAACAAAAATAAAAGCAACCAAAGCTTAGCTCAGTCCATTTTTTACCTACTGTCAAGAAAACATTTCAAGAATTGCCTTCAAGTTTTTGTTTATTGGTAAGTCTACTTAGACCAGAGATGCGTCCGGTATGCCAAGATATACTTGTGAATAGGGCTGTTGATCATGGACATGATCTGTTTTTTGCATATATATATCATCTATGGATGTACTCTGGGAACCATATTAAATTATCATGTAATCCTACTAAGGAGCAGAATAATGCTATGAATAAAGTGTGAACTTTTCATTCTTTTTTTTAATTTCCTAAGGGAAAAAATATTTTATTGACTTAGATTTCAGTGGTCAAAACCGATCCTACTCTACAATCCATATTCAAGTTAATCCAATTTTCCTACCAACTCCTGTTTTTTTTTTAAATCATTTTATTGG